TATGTGGCACACCAGCTACTTCGGCCATGACACAGGCAAACTGCGGCTACATGATTTCTGTGACCCGCAGGGTGGTGGTCCCTTCCGTGAAATACCGGACCCGTTCGGTGCCTACCCCTCCCTCTCCTTACGGATTGAGCAACTTGGGACCAAAACATCCAAAGGGCGCCGAGCTCCCCCTTTGGAACTGCGCCCCGGCCCTTCTCCGCGACATTGCTTCATCCGCACCTTCGCCCTCTATTGGCAGCTGTGCCATGCCCCCGATGCCCCCCCAGGGTCTGCCATCTCCGACTACCTCTTCCATCCCACTGACCGGGGTCACCAACACTTCGTGGAGCGCCCGTTTTCCAGCAGCACTTTGGCCATGCGAGTGGGCAAATACCTGGAGGAGGCTGGTGTTTACGTCGGGCAAACCCCTCATGGGTTTCGTCGTGGTATTATCCAGGCCACGCAGGCCGCCGGCGCCTCCCACGAGGAGCTCCACACCTTCTCCCAGATCCGCAGCCCTCAAGTCCTGGAGCGCTACACCGACGCCTCTCGGCCCACTCATGTCCCTCGCGGCTCCGGTCCCCAATCCTAGCCTCCGCCTCCTGCTGGTGCTGCCCCTCTTAGCCCTGGTGCTCACTTCGTGGCTCGTCCTCCCCCCTTTCCCCATCACATCGACGGGCGGGTGGGCGGGGTTCTGACTTGTGCCTGCTTGCACAGTTATCGGGCGATCTTGCGTTGTCTGAAGTTAGCGCCTTGTTCCCAGCTAATCTTTGTAACGAACTAGGGTATCCGTCCCTGTCCTCTGCCCAGCTCTGGGCTGCGAATTCCTGCGCCACACTTGCCGTACCGCACTACAGGACGAGCACTTAATCAACATGCATTGCTTAAATGTCAGCGTGTGATCTGTACTCCCTACTAACTTTCTGTGGGAAGGCCGTTGCGTCTGCGACCACACTCCCGTGGTACCCAAACCCTTCAAAGATAACTCCGACCAGCCCCAAAACACACCACGGAGCGGTCTCCCCTTCCCCACTCACTTCCCAGGTGGTACCCTGGGTCCTCTCGCTCACCAGCCCCTCCTCCCCTTGGCCCTTGTGACATCTGCCAGGCGTTCTTGCTGCACAGGCCGGTATTTCAGGAAACAATTAAAGTACCTCGGATGGATGTAGAGGCGCAGCTTGCCCTCCTTTCCCACCACTCACAGGCCGTTGATAAGCGTGGGTGTAGTGCATTAGCTGGGCATTCCAGTCTCCCACCACAGAGAGCCGTGCTTAACTCGGCTGTAACGACGCAGCTGTAGGAACTGCACTGCATGCGGCCGGTGACCTGCCATTATTATTTCCGGGTTGCAGTCCAGCATCGCGACCTGCAGCAACTCCTGCACAATAGCTAGCTTGCAGTCCCGCTCAGGCACTATTTGTTGTCCTGGGTGTTCGCATGACACCCACTCCAGCTGGGGCCCTCCCTCCAGGTGGCCTAGCCAACGTCTCTGTCTGTGAGGGGGCAGCCTTCTTTAGCTGCCTGGAAGAACTCTCACCACACTGCTACATGTGTAAGTAGCTTTCCTGGCTGGTAGTCCTCGGGTCCGGAAGCAAAAGACGATCTCTTCTACAACTCTTGCTCATTCTGCTGATCTACTGCGTCATGTCACCCTAGAGGCTGTAGCCTCTGTCCGGCCTCCTGTAGCAGCTGTATGCCTCGCTGCATGCTTCCTTGGGTGTCCCCGCTCCCCTTGCTGGTGCTCGTCCTGCGACGCCGGGTTCTCCCCTTTCTGCTCCTCACTCACCCACTTGCTGCCTTCACAAGGGTCATCGTTTCACGACAGCAGTTTGTCCAGATCAGCTCCCTCCTCCTCCCGGGTGTCCGTGTGGTAGCCAGTGCTAGATCCTCCGGCTCCTTCCCCTTCTATCCCTTGCTTGATCACAGTCAACACAGTAAGCCTGGGCCTCTGGGCTTGGGTCTCCTTGTGTGGCGCCTCGTTGCAGCTAACCAGGGCGTCCGCCCATTGGGCCACCCGTTCTGCCTCTGTTGCTGGGTGTTTATACCAGCAGCACTGCCCAACCTGCACCTTAACACAGGGCCCCTTCCCTGCATAACTAGTACAAGTCAGTGCCATTCACATGGCCCCTGTACACACTCTCCGTAATCTGCTCTTCACCCACTTCCTGGTATCCCCGCCGACCCAGCTCCTGGTTTACAGCCACCACTACACTGGCAGGCGGGCTCAGCCGCGGTCCATCGCGGCCCCCCCACCGTGAGGCGTTCCCAGTCCCGGGTTTACTAGGATCTGGGAGCCCGCACCCACTGGGCTCCGACTTGCACTCCTCTGGTCATGGAAGCCGGGAACCCCCGATTGCCACCCTTCCCATGCCGCTCTGTTGCCCACACTCATCCTGCACTCGCTGTCAACCTCCTCCTAAATTCCTTAGTAGGCTGTGAGTCAGCTGCCCATTCACCTCTTGTAACTTCACGGCCGTGCACGTGAACAGTACCACTGCCGGCCAGGTTCACTCCTGCAACTCCTTGAACATCGGAGGCTGACACCGTGGCCTGGAGGGCCACCTCTAACCCGAACACCTGGAACTCGTGGGCCTGCTGCTGTAGCTTGAACACACTCGTCTCCACCCAGCTCCACGGCACCAGGTATCCAGCAATTTGCCCCGTGAAGTGTCCTTTGAGAAGCGTGTTTGGCTTTTGCCCGATGTATGCCCCAACGTGCTGGCATTGCGGCCCTGCAGAATCCATGCAGCACTCATGCAACTTCTTTTCCTCCTGCTCTGGCATAACACGGCTACGGGTTTACCGCCCGCAGTGCGTGGTGGCTTTGTGCCATTACTCTAACCTGGACCTCCGGGGCCTCCCACAGCTGGGATGTTGGGACTCGGCCAACAACCTCGTAATGCAGCGCCTCCGGGCTGCCATGTTGTTTCCTTACGGCGGCCATGCGCCTCTTGGATGGCCTTCTCCCGGATGCCACGGTTCGCCTGGGGCTGCTCTTCCAGGCCAGTGGCTGCTGCCGGATACAGGGCTCCCGCTCCCGTGTTGGTGAGCTGCGTCTCCCGGGCCTAATCCTCAGCCAAGCATCTGACTGCTGCCGTTTATCCTCCCGTCCTTCCCTGGCTTCCACACCCCAGGGGTGGCTTCCATGCCTTCCAATCTGTGACTCAGGAAACCGCGCCACCATTCGCTTCTCCTCTTCCACCTGTTCCTCTTAGCCCTGGCTTGGGTTGTCAGGACGACCTTCCGACCCTTGGTACCCGTTGCCCCGATTCCTGCCCTCACCGACGGGCCTCCACAACTGCACCTCATCCATTGCTGCTGTCCGAGTTATCTCCCCTTTCTGGCTCCAAGTCCTCCTCGTCCACTTCTGGCCCCATGCACTCCGTCTGGGTGCTCCACTACACGAGAACAATCCCGCTGGGGTTGGTCCTCCGGTGGACACAACACAACCTACCAGCCCAAAGCAACTCAGCCTGGGTACTTCACCGTGCGAGAGCAAACCCCTGGGGTTGGCCTTCCGGATACATGCGACCCATCCTCCTGGCCCCAAGGCAACTCAGCCTGGGTGCTTCACCGCATGAGAGCATACCCCCTGGGGCTGGCCTTCCGGATAAACACGATGCAACCTAGCGACTCAATGCAGCTCCGCCTGGGTGCCTCGCTGCCCGAGCGCAAACCTGCTGGGGCTGGCCTTGCGGATAAACGCAACACAACCTACCGGCCCAAGGCAGCTCCGCCTGGGTGCTTCACTGCGCGAGAGCAAAAACCTGCGGGTGCTGGCCTTGCGGATAAACGCAACACAACCTACCAACCCAAAGCAACTCAGCCTGGGTGCTTCACTGCACGAGAGCATACCCCCTGGGGCTGGCCTTGCGCATAAACGTAACACAAACTACCGGCCCAAGGCAGCTCTGCCTGGGTGCTTCACTGTCCGAGAGCAAAACCTGCGGGTGCTGGCCTTGTGGATAAACGCGACCCAGTCTACTGGCCTAAAGCAACTCTGCCTCAGTGCTTCACTGCACGAGAGCATACCCCCTGGGGCTGGCCTTCCAGATAAACACGACCCAGTCTACCGGCCTAAGGCAACTCAGCCTGGGTGCTTCACCACGGGAGAGCATACCCCCTGGGGCTGGCCTTCCGGATAAACGCGACCCAGTCTACCGGCCTAAGGCAACTCAGCCTGGGTGCTTCACCACGCGAGAGCATAACCCCGGGGCTGGCCTTCCGGATAAACGCGACCCAGTCTACCGGCCTAAGGCAACTCAGCCTGGGTGCTTCGCCGCGGGAGAGCAAAACCTTGCTGGGGCTGGCCTTCCGGATAAACACGACCCTGTCTACTGGCCTAAGGCAACTCAGCCTGGGTGCTTCACCACACGAGAGCATACCCCCTGGGGCTGGCCTTCTGGATAAACTCTTCCTATGCTACTGGCCTAAGGCAACCCAGCCCTGGTGCTGGCCTTCCAGCTAAACGCATCTAAGCCTACCGGCCCAAGGCCACTCAGCCTGGGTGCTTTACCACGCACCCCCTGGGGCTGGCCTTTCGGAGCAGCACAATGCAACCCGGACGCTTCTCTCCCTGAGAGCATCACCCGGGTAAAGCCTACCGGCCGTGAGCACTCGTTATTGGGCAGTCTAGTTGCTACCCGATGAGCGCAAGGCGGTCCGGGCGCTTCAGTGGGCTCCAGCTGGTCACCTGGCAGTAACCCGCGGTGGTAATAAACCATGCTGAGCTAAACCTCAAAGCAATGACCTCTCCACCGCGGCGCCGTCCCCTCGTAGCCAGATCACCCCATTCCCCAGCAAAACATGTGTAGTTGCCAACCCTTTGCGGCCGGTTTAGGGACACCCATTTCCCTCTTACACACAACTGGGTAGGCCTAGTTGCAGCTGGCTGCGCCTGCTTTCAGACAACGTGGGATAAGGCGCGGAGTCCGTTGATCACCGCATCATCCCCTTCTGGGTGTTTCCGTCGCGTGCCATTCTTATCGCCTTCATCATAGCCATTACTTCGTTCTCCTCCGGACCTCCTCCAACTCCGCCGTGCACTTCATCCCGCTCGGCCATCTCTTCACTGTTACTGACGCCCGATGTGCCAGTAACACTGTGTTCTCTGATTTCCTTCCTTATTAAACTGGGTCCAAATGTATTGTATATTGTTATTTTTGACGTCCCTATTCCCCAACAAACGACGTTCTGACTTGTGCTTGCTTGCACAGTTATCGGGCGATCTTGCGTTGTCTGAAGTTAGCGCCTTGCTCCCAGCTAATCTTTGTGGGCTGAACACAACTCAGTTATCCCCTTTGATTCCTATTACTAGCCCTGCCCATCCAGCCCAACACGGAGATGGGTGCCGCCACAGCTGAGGTGGAAACCGCCATGGCTGCCGAAGGCGCCGAAGCAGGGGAACAGGATGGGCAGCCAGGGGCAATGCAGCTGCTGCAGCCAGGGATGGCGCTGGCGTCAGGCAGCGGGCTGCAGCAGGTAAGTGGACATGTCAGGCTGCAAGCCACGGGGTTGTACAGGTGCCAGGGTGACAGCCGAGCCCCTGAACAGGAGCTGGGTTGCCTGTCGTACACACACATATGTTAGGGTACGGCACATGGTGCAAGTCATGTTGTGTGATGGCCAGCTCATGAAAACCCAGTCGCCTGCCTTTGTTCATGCTGGGCACAAAGCCACCCCTGAGCCTTGCTTTCAGTTACTCGCGGCCCGCCCCCACCCTTGCCATGTCCCTCTTTCCTCCGTTCTGCCCTGCCCATCCAGCCCAACACGGAGATGGGTGCCACCACCGCTGAGGTGGACACTGCCATGGCTGCCGAAGGCGCCGAAGCAGGGGAACAGGATGGGCGGCTGGGGGCAATGCAGCTGCTGCAGCCAGGGATGGCGCTGGCGTCAGGCAGCGGGCTGCAGCAGGTAAGTGGACATGTCAGGCTGCAAGCCACGGGTTTGTACAGGTGCCAGGGTGACAGCCGAGCCCCTGAACAGGAGCTGGGTTGCCTGTCGTACACGCACATATGTTAGGGTACGGCACATGGTGCAAGTCATGTTGCATGATGGCCAGCTCACGAAACCATATTATTTTCATCCATATAATTCATCCATATGCAGTTTCCTAAAATCTCAGGTCCGGAAAGTGTCCAGGGTTCATCAAGGACCGAATTTCTTCAGCATTCCAATCTAAGCTTGGATGAGGAGCGTGCTATTCGTATAGCCAAACAAAAGGAATTCCTTGCAAAGCTAGGACTTCAAGCCATTGTTGACAATATCCGGTCGCCTCGCTCGCCTATCAGACGACAGAGTACCCACTCAGCTCCATTTGAGACTCGCAGATCCACTAGGCTTACTGTCTTATCATCAAAGCTTAGCAAGCAACAAGTGAAGGTATGTGGTGTTCCAACGGGTGGTTAAAGATACCTAGGCGGCGGACCCTACTTTAGGGTTCTCATTTCCTTCCTCTGTGAAAGATCTCAGTTCATAAATATTTACAATGTTTATTGTCATATTGGGTTTAACAATATTCTCTGCTGCAGATGCCGACCCATGCTGCAGAAGCGGCTGTCGTCGAGGACACTGCTGCAGTGGTGGTGAATCACGATCCTGAGATGCATCTTAAAATTTTCTCAGACCAACACAAAACTTGGGCGGAGATGCACAACCTGGACTTGAAGGCCGACGAGGGCCAGCTCCTTGCGGCCATCCTCCAGTGGCCTGAGCAGTATAAACTCTACTGTGGGAGTGAGGGCTCCTTTCATCACTCCTTTGCAGTATGTGGAATTCTGGTGGCGAATGGCATGTATGCCCCAGACTTTAACAACCCCAAGCTGCAGGCTATCAACCACTTCACTGAGGACATGAAGTCTGCCCTGCTGTCTGGGGGGCTGAAGCAGTTTGAGCTTGCACTCCTTCTTGCGGGTCTGAATGCACTCTGCCAGGGAGACGTGGGAGCACAGGGTCAGCAGGTCCGGAAGCGTGCAAAGTCTGCTGCAAGCAATGACTGCAGCAAGAGGACAAAACGTACCGCACAGGAGATGGCGGGCTTGCTTGAGAAAGAGTTTCACTCGGACATCATGTCTGCATCCAACTTCAAGGACATCCCGGTAAGGTGTCATGGTCCAGGATTTTTTACTATTCACAACATACATCCATAGAGGGTTTGGCACCACTGGTAAGGCATGACCATTGCCCCCGGGAGATCCCGGGATCGATACCCGTTAGGGTTAAAGTCCTTCCGATGGAGGAAGACATTGCCCCCTAAGTTGATGGACGGTGGTGACCTGGGGTAAAGATAACCCGCGAGCTGACCAGGAATGGAGTTGGGCCGCTGTCGACCTGGCAGATTCCGTTGGAAATGGTGGTGGGTGCGGAACCTGAGCGATCCACCGAGAAGTTGACTAGGGTGACTGGATGAGGGTGCCCCGTAATACTGGGGAAGGCAGGTTTCGCAGGGTAGCTGCCATGGGCGAAGATACACCCCCCTGTTTCACACATCATACATCCTGATGAAATATTTGCATGGGCTAACCCTAAGACACCCTCCTGTAATGTTGTATGCTTTTAACAATCCACAGGAGGTGAAGGTTCGGATTGCAGAACTTATTAATAAATTTGGCGGAACTGAAGGTGCCACCACCATGGTAGGCATTAAGGCCAAGGCAAACACAACCGAGGAGGATGTTGCTGAAGAATTGATGAAGTCACTCCGCCACAAATGGAAGAACCTCCGCAACATGGCTAAGAAGACACAGAAAGAGAAGGGTGCGTGACTGTGAACTTGCTAGCCTCATCATGCTTGTATGTATAAGTGGAGACAACAGGACATGTGATGCCTCCCGCTGCCTACACCTAGTCAATCCATGTGCAATAGCGCTAGCCAGCACATGTGTATGTACACAGGAACCCAAGCTCTATGTATATGTGCATGCATGGTAAATGTCAGTTGCTCCTCAACATGCCATCATCCCTCCTGCTTGCCTACAATATGACCTGGGCATTCATGTCATGCATGACTCTGCAGGTGATGAGCCAACCCCTGCCCAGCAGGGTGCCCAGGTGCCTAATCATAATATTCTGGACACGGCTGAAGATGGCACCGTGGTAGTACAGCAGGACAACACGGCAGCAGGGCCCAGGAAATGCTGCTCCTGCTGACCCCTGCTGCTGGGCCTCCCTTCTGGATGACAGCCTGGAGGAGATGGACAAGTACAAGTCGGCAGGCGGCCACGTGTCCTACCTCAACAAGTAAAACCTGGCTGACAAGACGATTGGCTGCTATCTGGTGGGCGGCTCCAAAGACAAGCCGAGCACACCATCAGTGCTTGGGGCGGGCTTGGTGCTCAGTGACATGGCAAGTATATATTATGGCAGATTGCTGTACACTCTGTGTTCTAACTTGCAACATATAATTTGGCCATTTCTGCAACTGATTACTCAGTTGGATCCGGTTTTACTAATTCTTTGGTGGTGCAGGCATCGGTTTCCATTGAGGACACCATTGAGATCCTGGTCATTGGCAAGATGAAGGGGCTGCACCACCGTGCAAAATTTACCCTGCCTGAGCCTACCAAGACACTCGCCATCAAGGACTCTACCCCTTGACCATGTTTGATAAAGTAAGGAACGACAGGACATTAATTAACCACCAGCAGTTCCTGTATCCTGACAAGCTTTCATTACTTCCTATATATGCAGATAACCTGGCCTGTTCTGGGCATCCTGGCTATCGACAAGCTTGCAGACATGCTGTGCCCTGGGCGTGTGATACCCTGGGCGTCAGTGCAAAGCAGATATCATCAGCCTTGAAGGGGAACAACATTAAGGGTTAGACGTAGTTGTGACTTCTGGGGCATGGAAACAAGTACAGAGGGATGGTCGGTATAATTGAGGGCCTGCTACATACTGCTAACTAGCATCATGATTAATGTTTGACCTATGTGTCGGGATGGAGTTGGCATGCATGCCTGCTCCTTCTGCACATGTGTATGCATGCTACAACATGTACATATCTCGAGCCATGGTATTGAAAGGCTGTTGTGTGATGGGTGTTGTTGCTTGACCCACTAGGATGGATGGTTGCCCATTGCAAATGGCTGCAAAGCCTTGAATTCATGCTGCTGTAAGGCAGCCAGTTTGATTGGTGTAGTAGACCATACGTAATTATTAAACCCTCTATGCATCATGGGCTTATGAAAGGCTGCAGCTGTGCTAAGTAGCCACTGTGTACACATGTGTTCATAACATGGTATGAATATCCTTATGGCTGTTATGCATTGTTCATCAAGTTCCTGTACATGTAGTACTACTAGTGCTGGTGTGTCGTACATATACATATATACGTAGGTCATGAACTTAGCAGGCAGCATTGTTAACACATGTGTGTATACACTGACGCTTCCGGAGGTTCCAGGATTGCCACCAGTCAAGGTAAAACGTTTTACCGATGGTGGAAGGTAAGAGTGCCGCTATTTGATGAACAGTAACGGCCTGGGATAATGTTGACATTAGAGCTGACCAGGAATGGACTCCAGCCGCCATTAAGTTTGCAGATGTACATGTCGTTGGATGACGGTGGTGGGAGCACTCCTGAGATGTACCCGAGTGATTCACTGAGAAGATGGCTAGGGTGACTGGATGAGGGTGCCCTGAAATACCTGGGTAGACAGAGTTTCACCTGGTAGCGACCACCGGTGTAGATATGCCCGCCTGTCCCACACATAATGTATAAGGGGTTGTGTTACAAATGTGGAAACGGTTGATACCCACAACTGAGATTTTATACATGTCATTCCAAATGTAACGATTGATTATATATCATGCTGTTCGTTAAATGATGTCATTCCATGCTACATGGCAATATAATCTTCCGATGACAATCTGGATGCACCTATTTATTAAAGAATCAATAATTTGGCCTAAGAATGTAAAAGAACACCCCTAAGAATGTAAGAGAATACAGAAGGCTGCTGGCCCTAAAGAATGCTAAAATAGTGGTTTTATTTCATAAGAATGAGACTTAAGAATGGGTGCCATACCTAGCAAACCCTATGGTAAGAATGGTTAAAACCCGCCAAAGAGCAGCTAAGTATGCTTTAGGCAAAGAATCAATAAGTTGGCCTAAGAATGTATAAGAACACCCAAAGAACGAAAAGAATACATAAGACTGCTGACCCTAAAGAATGGTAAAGAATCGTAGAGAATGGTAAAGAGTGGTTTTATTTCTTAAGAATGAGACTTAAGAATGCGGTGCCATACTTAGCA